CTCCTGTATTAATGGTGATGGTGGATGAGATGTGGTTGCCCACTCTTACATTCTGTGGTCTGTTAGTGAGAAAATCCAAAATCCAAGAACAGAGTGAAGGGGTTAATCCTAAATTTTTCAGCTTGTTTACCAGTTTGTATGGTACAATGGTATTAAATGCAGAGCTGAAATCTACGAATAGCATCCTAACATATGTATTGGGATGTTCCAGATGAGAAAGGCTGGTGTGGAGTGTGATTGAGATTGCATCCTCTGTTGATCTGTTCCTGCAGTAAGCAAACTGTAGGCTGTCCAGGTCAGTAGGGATGTTTGTTTTGATGTGTGAAAGGATAAGTCTCTCAAAACACTTCATTATAATGGGTGTCAGAGCAACTGGGCGATAGTCGTTCAGACATTTCACTGATTGCTTTTTGGGCACTGGAACAATGGTTGTTGATTTGAGGCACATAGGGACTATGGCCTGTTTTAAAGACAGATTGAAGATGTTGGTGAACACCCCCGCCAATTGGTCAGCACAAGACTTAAGTGTGCGACCTGAAACCTTGTCTGGACCAGCTGCTTTGTTGATATTGATCCTCCTTAAAGTGGATCTCACCTGGTGACACTCGAAGACGGGTATCGTCTCTTCTGTGGGTGATGGTGCTGTCTGGATTTCCATTCTGTTGGAGTCACTGTCAAAGCGTGCGAAAAACTCGTTCAGGGTGTCAGGAAGCGAGGCATCATGTCTGGACAATGAGGGGCTGTTCTTATAGTCTGTTAGGGCTTTAATGCCCCTCCACATGCTGCGAGGGTTGTTGTTTTCAAAGTGTCCCTCCAGCCGTTGCTGATATCTGTACTTGGCTGCTTTAATGCCTTTCTTTAGATCTTTTCGGGCATTTCTGTAAGCATGCCTGTCCCCTGACCTGTAGGCAGCGTTCCTCACTCTCAGTAAAGAGCACACATTCCTGTCAAACCATGGTTTTTGATTCGGGAACACCACGCTGGTTTTGGTGGTTAGCACAGAGTCAGTACAGAAAGCAATATATGCTAAAACAGATGAACTATACTCCTCCAGATCTGTACTCGCAAACAAGTCCCAATCTGTGTTTTCAAAACAGTCTTGTAGGCGTGAAGAAGATTCCTCATTCCAAACTTGCACCGTTTTTACAGTTGGCTTTGTTCTGCAGATCAACGGTCTATAGGACGGAGTCAAGTGTATGGAGATATGGTCTGATAAACCTAGATGAGGTGATGGGGCTGCTTTATAAGCTCCTGGGATATTGGTGTATACTTGATCCAATATACTGTTGTCTCTGGTGGGAAAGTGTATGCTGGTGTGTAGTTTAGGCATGACCGTTTTTAAATCCACATGATTAAAGTCTCCTGCTACAATCACAGCTCCCTCTGGATATGCATTCAGCTGGCTGTTAATAGCTTCATGCAGTTCTTCTAGCGCTAGCTTAGCATTAGCCCGTGGTGGAATGTAAACAGCTGTGATAACAATAGCAGCAAACTCTCTTGGAGTGTAAAAAGGTCTGCATTTTAGTGACATGTATTCGATGTCAGGTGAACAGTGCGACCTAATAATGTCCGCTGATGTGCACCAGTCATTATTTATGTATATACACACTCCGCCACCTTTGTTCTTAACTCCACAACAAATACATCAAATAATCATTGGGATAGTTCTTACTGTAGTATTTCTCACAAACGTTACTTGAGGTCTGCTTCCTTCATGTCTGTCACTGTGCTGTTTATCTGACACAACCAAGGCGGAGATTGAGGCACACTCTGACAGCCACAAAAACAGCTACATTGTGTTCAGAGCAGAAAATTCCAATATTCTAAAAGCTATAATAAATAATCTGATGAGTGTTTTGAGCTGAAACTTTACAGACACATTCTGGAGACACAAAAGACCTAATTATTAAAAAAGGGTAAAATATGTGCCCTTTAAAAATTTACCAAATGTTTGTTTGCTCCTCAGGATCTTGAACAAAGGCACAACACAATCCTGCAGATGTATGGCGAGAAGGCAGAGGAGGCTGAAGAGCTGCGTCTGGACCTTGAGGATGTAAAGAACATGTACAAACTACAAATAGATGAACTGCTGAAAAACCAGAAACAATGAACTCTGCACATGGACTTGCACACACTGACTGTAAACAGAGCTTTGCAGTAGAAGACATAACTGTGCTTCTCATCTCCGAGCGTTGGTAATAAAAGACCAAGTAATTTAAATGTATTTCTTTTTTTCTGAGAAAAGAGTTTGTTTAGCATATTTCAAGGGCCGTCGATTAAAGTTATTTAAGATGTGATTCCTCTCACGGTTGTGGGATTTTACTTTTAAATGATTTTGCTCTCAGTGAAAGGGATAGATTATTTAAAGAAATTACATTTCTGTCATTATTTACTCACTCTCTAGTGCTTCTTTCTTCTGTTAGGCATAAAAGAAGATGTTTTGAAGAATGTTTGAAACTGGCAGCCATTGACTTCCACTGTTTTTCTCAATGGCTGCCGGATGGCTTCCAACATTCTTCAAAGTATCTTCATTTGTGTTTTACAGAAAACAGAATAAATGAGTGAATACATTTTCATTTTGGATGAATATCTCTTTAATAACCATGTTTGGTTTAAGAAATGACATCACTTTCAGTGTATTGGTGTTTAGTTGTGGTGGTTTTTTTTAACACTTAAATTTGCACAGTGAAGTAAGAATTCAGACTTCATGCGTTTGGATTATGATCATCATAACTGAATTGCTATATTTTCCTCTGATCTTCATCCTCTGGGCTGCACATCTTGCTGGTAAGCAGGCGGTTTACAGTTGAAGTGTCTTCTGACATTGTGAAATAATGTAAACCTGTTTTTTTAGTTGATTCCAGGGTACCACACATCATTCAACATGCTTAAGTTAGCCCAGCTCTAGTTATACGTTAAGATTTGCACTCATTTTAATCTCATCTCTCACTGATTGAGTTTTAGTGTTGAGGAGATCCAGGAAAATCTTTTACTGTCATATTCTCAGAGATCGTAACTCTGTGATGTCACTGTAAGATACCTTTCCTGTGTATCTGCAGTTTTATGCACACATGTAAATAAAGTAGGAAATATCTATCGAGCAGACTCTTTTTTTTTTTATGTTAATTATGTATTATATTATGATTATGATCATCAGTGTTGTGTTTTTCAGTTTATTAATCATTAATTAATAAATGTTCATCTAAAAAATATAAATTTTTAGTTACAGTGATCAGCATCTATAAGTACGCCCCTCACATATTTTAAATTTGTGTTTTTAAAAACATGCTTTACAACATTATATTTGTGCAAATACATTAGATTAGTCAGTACTGAAGCTAAATCTGGAGCTTATCTAACAAAATAACTTAAGATAACGGTCCAAAAACTAGGACACCCTAATTTATATGTTATAGAAAAATATTAAATACAAATTTAAAAAAGGGAAAAAATCAAGAAAAGCAATAAAAAAGGAAATTTTTAGTTATAAAGTTATTTAGCTATATTTAGCTTGAATTTAATTGTATTATTTTTCATCATTTCTAAATTTGGTTGGTGACTAAGATATTATTTAAATAAATTTATCTGTTTAATAAATCTGTTTTGTTAAGAGGCACCAAAATACATTGCTTATATTTAATGAGAAATGGATCAAAATGTTCATTTTCAAAATGGGGTGTACTCAATCATGCTGAGCACAAGTTAGTTATATAGAATATATTATTACTAATGGTTTTGTTTTCATTATGATATTTGTTATTAGTATCACCCGTTTTAATTTAGTGTTTATCATTTTTAGTTTTATAATAATAATTATTAAGTTGTTATATTTCGTTAAATAATAACAAATATCGTAATCATCATCTTTGTTGTGTTTTACAGATTTTTCATTTATTCATTTTCTAGTCGGCTTAGTACCTTTATTAATCAGGGGGTCGACACAGCAGAATGAACCGCCGACTTGTCCAGCATATGTTTTATGCAGCAGATCCCCTTCCAGCCGCAACCCAACACTGGGAAACATCCATACACTCTCATTCACAGACACACACACTACAGCCAATTTAGCTTAATCAATTCACTTAGATCACATGTCTGCAGTGGCACAGTGGTAGCACTGTTACCTCACAGCAAGAAGGTTGCTGGTTCAAGCCTTGGTTGGGTTAGTTCTTGTTAATGTGGGATTCGTCCTGGGCTGCTCCGGTTTCCCCCACAGTCCAAAGACATGCGGTACAGGTGAACTGGGTAAGCTAAATTATCCGTAGTGAATGTATGGATGTTTCCCAGTGATGGGTTGCAGCTGAAAGGACATCCTCTGCGTAAAACATACTCTGGATGAGTTGGCGGTTCCTTCTACTGTGGTGACCTCAGATTAATAAAGGGACTAAACCGAAAAGAAAAGGAATTATTTTTATCAATATTATTATCAGCCACTGAAAACAGGTATACAGTAACAAATTTATTATTATCACCACCACTAATTTATATATTATCATTATCATCCTAATCTACTTAAATTTATTTTCAGTGTGTTCTGATTTAAATAAATAATTTATAAACTATATTTAGTTAAATGGTAACCAATTTGTTTTTACTATTTATTAATATTAATTATAATATAGTTATATGTTTGTTTTCTAGCTTTGTTAATGAAGTATAATATTTTATGCTTAAGAATAATTGCAAAGATATTGTTTTAGTTACACACACACATTTATATATATATATATATATATATATATATATATATATATATATATATATATATATATATATATATATATATATATATATATATATATATATATGTATATATACATATATGGTTTTTTGTTTAGTTAAGTACTAAAATGCCATTTTTAATGTAATAATGATATTATTTTACATAATAATAATATTATTAATAATAATAATAATAATATTTATTATTATCAAGCCATTAAAATTTTCCACCAGCTAAATAAAACCATCTCTCGCCCTCTCGCGGTGGCTGAAAGTAAGACTGGCTGATAGTTTCCGGTAGTATGGCGACTGCATCCTTAAATGCTCCCACTGCGTCTTCTTAGTTTCTCCAAGGAGGTAAGCGTACAATAACTTTTCAATTGGCAATGTGATTACTTGCATCTTTTTCTCAGCAATTCCAATGGTTTGAACAAAGTGACTATACTCTACGCGTGTAAAAGTGCTTTTTCCCCGCTAGTAAAGGCAGCTGATAAAGTAATTGATGGAGAGGAGAGGAGCAGCTGTGAAAGGAACCTTTTATTTTGGCAACGTGTCAATCTTTGCGGTTCGTGCGGTCCTTACCTCAACTTGCTCTGTTATTATTTTTTATCATGTGTCAATTTGACTTCCGTGTGTCAGTGAATTTGGAAATCTCATTAGTTTGGCTACGTTTCCTCGAAAGAAAAGGATACAGCTTTCTCTTACCATTTATGGACATAAATTCATAGGTTTGGAAATGATTAAAATGACGGTTGATTCACTTTCTGCAGGAGTTTTAATTGAGATGCTCCATCAGGCGAATGAGATCTGAATACAGTGCGTCTTTGTTAATCTATGTGATCTGCTCTGTCTAGACGGATTAAACTCTCAATTTAGAAGTGACCAACCTAATAGTTCAACATCCCCGCTATTGTTACTATTGTAAAACCCGTGTAATTAAGACGCCAGCTCTTTTAATTAATGCCAAATGCCTGTGCTTGCAGGACAACGTAAAAAACAAGAACTAATTAATTGTTATCTCTTCACCATCTGCTTAATTACGTTATCATCTACAAATATGTTTTTTTTTTTTTTTTAAAGTTGACTAAAAATGCCAACGAGGCATTGCTAAAATAAACATGTGTTAAGTTGTACCCACAATCAGATTCAAACTAAATGATGGTTTCTTTCTTGTTTTTTTTTTAATTCTTTGTTTATTGGTTTTAATGAACATACAAACATCAAAAAATAAACAAAGACAAGGATGTCAGTAGACCAGTATAGCAGAAAAAGGCATAAAAATAAATAATAGAAAATAAATAAACATACAAACAGAATACATAAGTCATAATGAACAAAGTTATGCTGTGATTGAATAAAGTCACACTTATAAAAATACTTAAGAGGGGGTCAGAGAGTCAGAAGTTCATTAGAGTCATCCATATTTTCTGAAAGACATCCCATTGGTTTTCTAACCGCCTTAAATAGTATGTATTTTGTTCCAAGAGCATTGTTTCATTCAAGAGTTGGTTCCAGTTGAGCAAAATGCATTATTTTGCTAGATGGGGAATGATGCTGAGTAGGCATGGCATGATAACTGTTTTCAAGGTATACTGCGGTTTGGAAAAGTCAAGGTTTTAAAAACCCCAAAATGATCTGTAATATGGTTCCTAAGGTATGTGAAAGATTTTTTATTTACATTTAAAAAAATTTTAAATAGAAAAACAGTATCTCTAGCAGAAAAGATCTCCAAAGACACTGCTTTAAATTGTGAAGAAATCTGTGTTTTTTAAAACAAATGAAGACAACAAAAGTCAATGATTAATTTGAATAATTAAGCCTGAAATGTTCACTGTTCCAAAATATTTTAAATCTTTCAAAAACTAAAAAATATTGTTTTTAAAGGGATTTTTTTTTTTTTACAAAACCATGATACTGTGAAACCCTGATATTTTTATTCAAGGTTATTATACTGTCAGAATCTTTTAACGGCCCATGCCTAATGCTGAGCCTCTTTATAAAAGTAGGATCAAATGTCTTGTTCAGTTCTTTACCAAAGAGGTATAGTGTTGGTGTGTTGTCCAATGGAATTTGCAAAGCTTTGGCTGTAAAGTCCTGTGCTGCTTTCCAGAAAAAAATCGCCTTTTGCATTCTCTAAAAACATGCATGATTGATCCTGAATAGGTCGTACATCTGTGACACCAGGATAATACATTGGGGTACATTTTGCTTAACTGATAAGGGGTCAATTACATCCTATGCATAAATTAATCATTTTGTTTTTGGAAAGAGGAATGAGAGTATTCTGAGAGTATTCTGAGGAAAGAGGAATGAGAGGATATAGTCTCCCTCTGATCATCATTAAAATTATACTCCAAATCTCCAAATTCCAAACCACACATTTTTAAGAGATCCCAGTAAAGAGTTGTAATATTCTAATAGTGCAGAATAAATCTCTGAGATCTTTCCTTTTAAAGATTCTGAATTCACCAAAATCTCCTCAATATTGGAGAGCTCTAGGGATGGTTGTCCTCTCTTTTCATGACTAACTATCAAACAGCAAATTTGCAGATATTTATAAAACTCTTATCTTGGTATCTTTAACTCTTGCCTTTGGTCAGAGAAGGATTTAAGGGGACAATTGAAACAGATCTCGAAACTGACATATACCACATTCCCTCCACTTTATAAACAAAGATTTCCCAAGTGAAGGTGACAAATCTGGTTTGAGGGACAAAAGAGCTAACATAGATATTCTAGCAGAGGAGCCACAAAACCTTTTTGCATCTTGCCAGGCCCGATGGCTTTTTTCATTGAGACATTAGAGTTTTAGATTTTTGAAAACAAATTTTTGCCGCTCCATATCGTCAATAGCTAGAAAATAATTTAAAAATGTATATTAAAATGTTGTAGCTATGTAATCAGGAGAGTTATATATTCCTCTGTTATAATATTACTACTAATAATAAAACTTCAGAATACAGAATCAGGCTTCAACGTAAATGATTTTTTTCTACTAGCTTGAATGGGCCAGTGGTTCTGATTTTTACTTGCCCCAACAAAATTTTCACTGGCCCACCAAAAAAAAAAAAAAAAAAAGCCAATAGCTATTTCTTAGCCACATATTTTTAATAATATGTCAAATAATGTCTTTAAATCTCAAATTTAAATATTTAAAAATATCAACAAATGTAGAATGAGCAAAATTCAGTGTTATGCAAACAAAAAGAGCAGCATGGAAATCTGCAGGTATTTTATTATTAATTTATTTAACAAAAGGTGGCTAACTCGCCAAACTGACAGCAAACTGTGCAAAACACTTATTTTTTGTCATGTTGATCCCATTAAAACACATAATTTGATGTTGCCGCCTCTTCGCTGTACTGTTTGTTACCATATGAAAAAAAAACATGCCCACAACATCCAATCAGATAAGAGGAACTGAAATGCTACATGGTGTTCATGACATCACAGAGAAGGTAGTATATAAAGGCTTAATAGCACCAACTGTTCCTTGATTCTGAGACTGTGTTTGCTTCGTTCATTCATTTACTTTTGGCTTAGTCCCTTTATTACTCAGAGGTTGCCACAGCGGAATTAACCGCCAACTTATCCAGCATATGTTTTACGCAGCGGATGCCCTTCCAGCTGCAACCCATATCTGGGAATCATCTACTCATTCACACACATACACTGCAGACAATTTAGCTAACCCAATTCACCTATAGTGCATGGAAACCGGAGCACCCATTGGAAACCCACACAAACATGGGGAGAACACACAGAAATGCCAACTGACCGAGCCGGGGCTCGAACCAGCGACCTTCTTGCTGTGTGGCACTGTGCCACCGTGCTGCCCCTGTATTTGTTTGCAAATGACAAATAGTCACAGCCAAATTAAGCCTATAGTGACAAGGCAGCACTGGCCCAATCCAGCGTCTCTCATGGTAGCCCCTTGCCATCGGGTCTTTGTTGCTGAGCCCTGCAGATGTTTATAAAACTGTTATAAAAGTTTGCTGTATGTAAATGCTGTTGCACAACTCAGGTCAGAAAATTGTCTTTAAAAATTGTATTGTGATTGAAATCAGAAACTCTTAAAGTGCGTTTCCTTTCATTATAGTGTAAAAGGACGACATGGTGGCTCAGTGGTTAGCACTGAGGTTGCCTGCTTTGTCCAGCTGTGGACGCCTCACAGCAGGAAGGTCACTGGTTTGAGTCCCTGCTGGCTCAGTTGGCATTTCAATGTGGAGTTTGCATGTTCTAATAAACTATTTTTAATAATAATCTAATAAACTATTTGCTAATTGAATAAACTAAATTGGCTGTAGTGTATGAGTGTGTGTAAATGTGAAGGGATGGGTGTTTCCTGGTACTGGGTTGTAGCTGGAAGGGCATCCGCTGTGTAAAACATATGCCGGATAAGTTGATGATGACTAAGGGGATTAAGCCATAAGAAAAATGAATATTGTAAAAAAAAGAATAAAAGAAAGAAATGCTAAAAGCCCAAAAGCTCAAAATGGTCTTTCTTCTCTTAAAAACAACACTACTCCTTATTTTCATAGTTTTATGTTGCCATTGAAATCCTAGTTTTTGTTCTTTTTAATATTAATAAATTCATTTGGAGATTCTGGTTTACATTTGCACACTGTGAGTTTGTTGTTGTTTTTTTCTCAGAGGGTTTTAATTACGTACTAATCTGTAATTATCTTGTCATAATTACAAGGCAACACAGCAAAGCAGTTAGTTATTCCTCCCGGGGAAAACAAAACATCACCAGCTTCTGTCTAAATAAGGAGAAAATAATTATTATTATTATTGTATTAACACTTTGCTCTTACATTGTTTTTGTAAAGTCACAAATCTTAATAATTTAATGAGAAAGCTATTTTACTTGAACATTATTAAATAAAACTAAAGACAAAGCTATCCTGTGATCAAGGTAAACACAAAATGTCATGAAGGTTGACACAATTTATTGAATTAATATTAAAATGTTTTATTAAAATATTTTGACATTTTGTCCATGTCTCTGTTAACAAACAGCATCATTTCAATGATGAAGTCATTTTAGGGAATAAAATGTAAATATTGCTTTTACCTGGTTAATAAACAGTGTAGGGCCACATGGTAGCTTAGTGGTTAGCACTGTCGCCTCACAGCAAAAAGGTCGCTGGTTCGAGTCCCAGTTGGCATTTCTGCATTCAGTTCATCCAAGTACACTGCAGTAATGCTAGCAACATATAATTAAAGTGCCAGGTATTGTGACTCAGTATGGAGTAGGGGTTGCACGGTTTACCGGTACTATGGTAGTATCATGATATTATGGCTCTAAAGTATTGGTGGTGCCACTGTAGTTTGTAAACAATAGTATCGTCATTAAACACACTCCACAATACATAATGTTACATGTAGAAAGGTCACTAAAATGCTCACACGTTTGTGCAACAAACAATTTTATTTTAATAGTCTGTGGAGCCCTTTAAGGTTGCAAAGCTGTAGAATTTACACATTTTATTGGTAGCCTATTGGCTATTTCTGACACTTTAGTTCAAATCAGTTCATTTTTTTTCTTTTCAATATTATTTAATAGCTTCAACAACTGCAACAATCATTTAACAGAGCGACTCACAAAGTGGAATTTTGAATTACCTTGGATTCTTACCTGATAAGACTGAAAAAAAAAAAAACAATTGGTGAAAAACCCCAAATTGCAGGAAACTTTTTTTTTTTTTGGTAAATAATTTAATTTGGTATAATTTGCATCTTTAATGTGTTTTTTTGCTGGTCAGTTGTCTACAAAAGAAACAAAAGAAACAAACACATTTAAGGTGAAGTGACATGCAATTAAAAAATGTTTTCAGCACAGCAAAATCCCTATTTTTTGGTATTTGGTCCCTCTCTAAATTGAATAAACCCAAGTTTGAAATTGAATTACCCAAGTTAATAAGACAATAAAAGGATAAATTAGGTGATGATTGAGTACTGGTGATGAACACCTGCTGTCGATAAACAGAAACAGAACAATAGCTGACTTCAGTTACAGCCTTAAATGAAATCAGGTGAAATATAACACATTGAAACTCTTAAAATCTCAGCAGAGGATCATTAAGCAACTCCGCAAACAACAGCTATACTTATTACCAACCTATATATATATATATATATACTATATATATATATTAGGGCTGTAACGATACACCAAACCCACGATTCGGTTCGTATCACGATTTTTGACCCACGATTCGGTTCGTATCACGATTTTTTTTTTTTTCGTGTGGGGTGGGAAAAAAAAGATTTTTAAAACTATTTTTTATTAAATAACATTGGAAAAATTTTTATAGACTAAACATCAAAGAACAATATTAACTATGCAAATTATTAACAATATAAATAGCCATATATAAAATAAATAAATATCCAAAGCTATATCACTTCTGTTTTCTTTGTAACAAAATACTGTTGAAATACCAAACAGAACTAAACTGCATTGTGTAGATGGTTCAAGCATGTTGAAAATTATTTTTCAATCAAGTTCTCTTACATAGAAAAAGTAAATTAAATAGCTACTAGGGATGCTCATTTCGTTAATTTTGCTAACCGACAACCGCCGCTCATTAATCGGTTATTAACGGTGAACTGGTCAGATTACTATTAATTTTATATTAAACAAATTGATGTGTCTATTTTGTGTCTGACACATTAAATATTGCATTTTAAAATACTGATTTATTTTTATATATTAATAGCGGAACAGAACAACAGAGCATCTTCACGCACCTGCAGTGTTTAGCACAGAAGAGCAGAATAATCTAAATAAAATGAATAAAATAAATAGGACTGCCCTAAATTATTTTCACTTAAATAATTAATTTATATTACAAAACGAAAATACTGACCGATTCTTTTTAATAAGCGACATGGGCTTTTTTTTTCCAATCATATGTTTTTTTCTTCCGTCAAATAAAAATAGCTGACTTCCTTAAATTGCTCGCTCCACGGAAAATATGCATTTATTTAATGCCCCGCTGTTATTATTATAATCACAAAACCTTTTACATTTTTAATAGAAATCATTATTTTAAAGAACATGTCCTGATATAGCCTATGGTTTTTTCCTCTCTCTCCCTCGCGGTTCAAGTGCGCGCTGCGTGATGAAAAGACGGCAACAACGCGCTCATATGTAGACATTTTGTAAACAGTTTTGTTGTTTAAATATGATATTGCATTAATCTGCGTACATGCTTTAAGCTGTAAAATAAAAAGTAAAGCCTATTTGTTGTGTTTATTATGCAGATCCAGGTCAACATAAGCGCTGCCGCATCAACAGGTCTGTTTCAAACAGCAATATTCTTCTTCCATTTTGCTTCTTTGGCAAATGTGTCTGTAGGCACGGGTTATAGCCTACGTTATGGTCCCGCAAATTAAGTATGCCTTGCAGTTAAACAAGGGGCCGAAAACGAGGCGCATCTCACTGCCTTTATGTTGACAAGGAAAAAAGAAGAAGCGCGGTCCTCTTATGAAACGACTGAATCAGCTGGGTATCAATTGCGCAAAAGTGTTGCTGTCTGTGTTGTTACAATAGTAATATTTAATACTATTGTGATATTCAAGATTTGTATATTCATACAGCTCTGGATAACTTAAAACAACGATTAGACCATCAGAGCGGTGTTAATGCGTCCTGAAGTAAAGCGAAACGGCTATAAACTCCAGCAAGATTGTGAAGTGATTATATGCAGAGTCATATACCTTTATCTCTAAATAAAGTATAGCTATAGAAACTGTGTTCATCTTAACTTAAAGCTTCGTCGTGTTTTCTGACCTCACGCACCTGTCAGTCAGCACTCTCAAAGGTTCAAACAGAAAGCGCACAGCACGGTTACAGAAAGGTTTGCGCTGTTACCTGACATCTGGTGAACGCCCATCCCTCTCTGCGCAGCCACATTAACAGTGTGAGCAAATCATCGTATATGCGCTGAAAATCCGGCCGCTTTGACAGCATTGGCAATGTTTCTGGCGTTGTCGGTTGTCAAGCGGGGTTAAGTTAGTTTTGTTTTTGACATCCCTGACACATTCAGACGGTCCCTTACTAAGAGCTCCGTGCGAGCTCTCCCGGCTAAATATTGCAAGGGCTTAAACAGAGCAGTGCTTGTAATGTCTAGTGAAAAAAAGTGTTAATTAGCTCAACTTTTGCAGGCTCAACTTTTGTAGATCCGTGTATCGTTACAGCCCTAATATATATATATATATATATATATATATATATATATATATATATATATATATATATATATATATATATATATATGAATGTTACTAGAAATGCCAAATTCTGATAAAAACAAAAGTCTATTAAATTTCACACACAAAAGATTTTTTTTACTCTACGGTTAAATGGTTTTAGTGTGTAAAAGGGTTAATGTGAATAATGGGAGAGATAAATGCATCTGCCAAATCAATCAATCAATCAATCAATCAATCAATCAATCAATCAATCAATCAATCAATCAATCAATCAACCTTTATTTATATCCCTTTACAACAACCAAGGTTGACCAAAGTGCTTTACACAAGTAAAAACAAATTATAAAGCACAACTGAAAAGCAGACAATGCAAAACAATGCAAGAAATATCAACAAAATACAACAAACATTAAAACATAACAGTGTTAGACAGTGCTATGCATTAAAAGCCAATTTAAACAAGCTTGGCTTTTAAAAGTGGCAGGTCAGTGATTGTATGAAGCTCAGTAGGAAGGATATTCAAAATTTTAGGACCTGCTATGGCAAAAGAGGGATCACCCCACTGCTTGTACCTGGACTGTAGGACTTCAAGCAGAAGTTGGCCAGCTAAAGATCGCTAAACTCTGCTGTGCAAAATTTCAAATAAGGAGAAGCATGGCCATTGACAGCATTAAAAACAAACAGCAAATTATTAAATTATTATTAAAATCTATTATGCTTGCATTGTTTACTGTTGGTTACTAGGTTACAAATACTACAATCAGCCACCCCAACTAACCACTTAATGGAGATGCACATAATTTACATTTGATATTTTCCTTTTTTGTGAACTTTGAAAAAGATTCTTATTTTATTAAATTTGTGCCAAAAACACAGAAGGTGAAAAAAGACAACAACAAAAAAAAGACAAATTAATAATTTCTTAAAAAGATGTAAAACACAAATGAACATCTGACCCATTTTAATATGAATGCCAAATACAGCCAACCACTTATAAGTCTGTGATTCCCACATGCAAGGTCTGGTCGGAATCGGCACTTGTTGTTTTTCTATTAATTTCCCTCAATCCCTGCCTTATTGCTTAAACAATTGAAGGAAAAAGGTCACTAATATTTCCTGTGGTAGGAGTTCCACATGGAGTAAGATCCGTTCATTTGCAGGTTCCCACACTGTGGTCACTTCCAGCGCTTTGGTGTTTGTTGTCCCTTGTAAACTCTTGGTCTTCTGTCTCTAAACACTCTCTCTCCCTTTCTGTCTCTTGTGAATGACTGTAGGTACTGAGAGCCAGTGTGGTTCCTTCCATGTGGCTTGAGGGACTATGCTGCTTCTGGTAGCTCTTTGCCTGCTCTGCAATAATAAAACCGTCTCGGCCACAGACAGCAGCCGCACGCCACAGCTAGACTACAACAGCCTGGCTCTGCCGCAGCGACATATTCCTTTCTTTCTACACAACAACAAACCTCTGGCCAAACTCTGCAAAGAGGACCCGCTTTGCCCTTTTAAAGTAAGCTATTTTGACTTCTTTTTTTGTTTTATCGGAAACACTTTAGAATAATGGTCCATTAGTCCATTAGTAATACATTAATTATCATTGTAAACAGTATGCTATTTAAGTTAAGCTTATGTTAACTCACAGTCCATTAACTAATGATAACAAGGCCAAATTCGGATTTTAATAATGCATTAGTAAATGTTAAACTATGATTAATTAATGCTTCACAAGATTATTCATACTTAGTTGATGTTAATAAATGTATTAACTAATGGACCGTTAAAGTATTACCATTTTATTTAAGTGTAAAATCATGGTTAAAATCTTGCCAGAATCAGAAAAAAGTACAGATTACAACAATTTTTTTTCCCCTTATTGTTGGATTTATCTAAGTTGTATTATGCATGTGGGACTCTTGCTTTACATTATGGAGTTTTCAGGTAATACAACGAGGGATGGGGTATCTCATCTTATCATCTCATCATGCGTCAGAATGCAAAATGTGGGATATACAGATTAGAAATTAATTCAGCACCCCCAAAGGTCTGTTAAGCAGTATATTTTGTGTATATTGTCACATAATGTATTTTAGGCATCAGAGCTAGTATAAAAAAGGCAATTTTCTCATTACTAGACAGACTAATTACAAGATTTTACTTAAAACTAGAGCAGAGATGCCCAAACAAGGCCAAAAGTTGGCCCATGGTAACCTTTGATTTGGCCTACCATCCCATCTGAGAACAATGATGAGAATAAAAAGGATGGTTTCGTTATTGTCCATTTAAATTTAATACAACCGTTTGTTTGTTTGTTTGTTTGTTTATTTATTTATTTTATTGTTAAAAGCTAACTGTAATAAAATGTTTCAATTAAATGGTGTAAATTAATTAGATTTTTAAATGTACATGCAGCTGACAATGCAGAGACTTTGGTGAGCAAATCAAGTCAAAGGCAGATTCTGCTTGACTAATGTATTCAGTATTGAACTCCACTGTGTTATAAATGTGATTATGATTTTAATGCAATAAATCATTAAAAAAAGTTATAACGGATTAGTTTATATGATTTAAAGTAATGTTTTCTATTAAATTTCTGAAATTAATTAGGAAATTACCATCAGTATCTGTCTTTCTCGTATTGTTGCCAATATTCCAATAGATTTAAATTATTTAAATATTGGTTGATAAATTTAATAATTATTATTATTATTATAGTATCTGTCTTCTAGGGTTGGTTGAGAGTAGAAAAAATCAGCTATAATGGTTTTGAAACATTATTTTGGTAGAGCTTGTAAGTTTATGAGCTATGTTTAGTGCAGTGTATGTGCTGAATCATATGATGTGACGTTGTGTCTCTGTTGGCTGTGACAGGATGCTCTGCTGCTCAGGAAGGCCTGTTGGGGGTATGAAAAGAGCTGCTCTGCTGAGCACAGGTTCAGCTATCCTGTGTGCACCAGTCTTGATTCAGGATGGTAAGATTGTTTTTGCTGTTCTACAAAAAAGATGTGAAAGAAGCACATTTTTCTTCAGCACTCCTATGTTTCGCTATTCAGATGTACTGTACAAAGGGGTGCAGGACTGACACCAGAATCCAGAAGAATAATTTGCCATTGGCAAATTTGCCTTCGGGGTTTTTCAATTTCTGAGAAAAAAATGAAATATGTGGTTAAAATAACTTGACAATACTTTAATGTTTATCTGGACAATGCAAATTAGACACACCCATATTGAAAACAGGAATTTTGAAGCTGTCTTATAAAACGTATGTTTCTAATAGGTTTTTAGGGTGCGGCATGGTGGCTCAGTGGTTAGCACTGTTCAAAGACATGCGTTATAGCATATTGGTTGAACTAAATTGGCTGAAGTATATGAGTGGTGTGAATGAGAGAATATAAGTGTGTTAAAATGGGATGACAAAAGTCGCTATGTCAGATTATGCGATTTTGTCTTGCTAAAATCTTGATTATCGTGGGTAACAAATGTGCCAGACTACACGTTCCTTCACGATCATCATCCATGACGTCTATGACAAGCGTTATTTCCAAGAGCAGTCACAAGTGTTGCTATAACAATATTTCTTATCTTATTAATTCATTTTTTTTGTCAATCTCAGAAACAGTCATGCTTACTGACAGTTATGCTACATTATTTAAGGGCATTCGTTATGACATTGATAGGATCAATAGGATTGCACTTATGATTCCTATTTAATATTAAGATTTTTTTTTTTATCTAAATGAATATTTGCCAGCACTCCCTTGCCTGAGCCTGCCGCGAGTAAGATGGAGAAAATGAAAGCACATCAGCACTAAGGAAAAATTAGATGCTCAAGACAAAATAATGACATATTAAAAAATATATGACAGAGGTTTGTGTTACAACAATTACAGTGGTGCACTAATAAAATCCTTATTTTCCACAAAACAAATCGTGACCGCACAGTAGAGTAAAGAACAATCACAAATAAAACAATTATTTGTATTTGTTTCTTGGAAAAAAAAATCTTTTTGAAACGAATTTCATATGGTATAAATTGTTTCTTAGTTTTAATGTATTTTTGTTGGTCAGTTATCTACTACATCAAGGGTCACCAATCTTGGTCCTGGAGGGCCGGTGTCCCTGCAGGGTTTAGCTCCAACTTGCCTCAACACTCCTGCCTGGATTTTTTAAGTATACCTAGTAAGACCTTGATTAGCTTGTTCAGGTGTGTTTGATTAGTGTTGGAGCTAAAATCTGCAGGACACCGGCCCTCCAGTAACAAGTTTGGTGACCACTGTACTAGATCAACAAGAATAATAAATAACATCTGAGGTGAAGTGCATAATAATAATAATAATAATAATAATTCGTTACATTTATATAGCGCTTTTCTGGGCACTCAAAGCGCTTTACACAATGGGGGGGATCTCCTCATCCACGATAGATCCAAAAATGATAGCTGATGTCAGTTACTCACACTCAAACCTACTTATTGGTGCAATTGTAATTGTCAGTTTTTGTTATGTTGGTTGAAAATCTTTTTAATGATCCTGATGAAATTATCGTAAATGATAAAGTGGTCTAAATGCATTTTTACGTATTTAAATTTTCTGTAGGACCAAGAAAAGTTTTTTTCGACCTAAACATTCAATATACTGTAAGCTGTCATACCAGCCTGTCAAAATATGTAATTGCATCTCTGTGTGCCTTGTTTGCGAGATCAGGGTCACAATTATCAATTTATTTGTTGGTTAAAACCATTGGACATGGTCGGTTTTTATTGTATAGAAACATTTTTGAAAATGTCTTTTTGTGGTTGTCAGACCACAACATGACTCAGTAGTAAATGATAATCAACAGCTGTTAAAAACAGTATTCTTTGCATTCAAAATTAAGGATTTTAAAGATTTTTCTACGGTTAAGTCTTAATATTATGAGATATTAACATTAATATTATGATATATATTAATGCTGTCACTGCTCATGTTAACTGTACTTTCATAAATTGTGTTTATGATTCTTTTCGCTCTTACAGTGTTTCCTATAAATGTGCTGCTAAACTCTATTTCCCATGGCAAGCACTATTATGTTCCTTTAATCAAATACAAGCTAACACAAGTTCTAAATGTTTGAACACAACCTGCTTCATTCTGTTACTCAAACACTTCAAGGGCTGATAATATATTTAGGTCATACTTTATTTTAAGGTACAATTTGCACTATTACAAGCCATGAAATATGGCTTTTGCCTCAATTAACTCATAATTTGCTGTTTATTAATTGTTATTTAGGTAGTAGTTAGGTTTATGTATCGAATAGGATTGTTGATGTAGAATAATGTAAATGATGTAAGATCAAGCAGAATAGGTACTAATAAATAGCCAATAACTTAATAATAGCCAGGTAGTAAGTCACTAGTTAATAGTGGAATTGATACTTAAACTAAAGTGTTACCTAAAATGTATCCTCGGGCTTTACCTTCAACACAAAGACTAAATAAATGTTTATTATTGCTCCAAACAATGCTAATGTTGGTCTTCTTTCTTTAGGGCAAACTCTATTCAGGCAGCCCAGGAACTGTTCTGGAAACAGGCAGATTTCGGCTACGTGAGGGAACGTCTCAATGAGATGAAGACATTGTGCAAGCCGTCGAAACCCGTGAGTTTTATTCTACAGCCTTTACCTCATTTGATCTGTCTTTATCATGGTAAAGCTGAAGTTCATGGCCCAAATCCAGAACTCCTGAGCCAATGAGCATTAGCACTAAGCCTGGGCTCTTTTAAATATCACCGCTCCAACATGTCAAAGCAATCAGGAACAAACCTGCAAAAACAAGTTGAAACCTTTTCTTTACAGGCTGATTCCTCTCTGAAGTGCTCTAGTCATATGCGGTTCTGCAGGGCCACAAACCTGTATCTGGACCTGAGGAGTCCCCGCAGAGGTCACGAGAGGTCAGGCTAAGGTCATTGAAGATCAATGACAAAGTAAAACTGTGAAGTTGTTTTCCCTCTGGCAAAACTGTGAGAACTTCCTTTTTAAATGAGCTCCCTTTCGTTCTCTCTCTGTCTCTCTTCCTCTTTGGTCACTGCAGGTATAAAGAGGATTTCCTGGAGCAGGGTGAGATCGGGGGTCACTGCAGCCTTAACAGTAAAGCTTTAGAGGCAGAAGGGACACATAAGAGTCCCCTACAGTCTTGGTAACTAACAGAGGCCTGTGTAAAACATATTAATTCTTTGATTTTAATTAATCTTCAGTTTAATGAAACAATGTCAATTCAAGAAATTCATGAATTTGTTCTTAATGTGTGTGATAATTCAGAAGATGTTGCCTTCCTTTTAGTAATTCTACTTAAAGGGAACATTTACCCAGCAATGACAATTTACTCATATTCAAGGGTTTGTAAAGTTTTATGAATTTCTCTCTTCTACTGAACACAAAATAAAATGTTCTGAAGAATGTTGAAAGAAAAGCCAGAAGAATAGTATGAAAGTCAATGGCTGTTTTATTTCAGCACTCTTTAGTATATCTTCCCTCATGTTCAACAGAAGAAAGAAACTTAAATAGGTTTGGAATAAATGGAGGGTGAGTAAATGATGGCCGAATATTCATTTTTGGGTGAATCCCTTTTTATCTCTTTAAGTTGAAGAAATAAGTCTATATACGACTTATTAGTTAATACACATGGTATAAAAATATCATAATTCCCAAATGAAAAACTGTACATTTATTGTACTTTAATGTTTTGATATTCAACCAAAATGCATTTTCTCACTTTATGGTGTTCTCAATTGAATGTTGCTAGCATAAAAATACGTTTTTCAAAAATTTCATGCTGCTCTTTCCCATAAAGTAAAAATAGAACATGACCATTGGTTACCACTAGGGCTGCACAATACAGTGCATTCGAAAAGTATTTATAGCGCTTCACTTTTTCCAAAAAAATTTATGTTACAGCCTTATTCCAAAATGGATTAAATTTATTTGTTTCCTCAAAATTCTACACATAATATCCCAGAATTTTTTTATTTGTTGCAAATTTATTAAAAATAAAAAACTTGGAAAAAAAATCACATGTACATAAGTATTCACAGCCTTTGGCGTGAAGCTCTAAATTAGGCTCAGGTACAGTCTGTTTCCACTGAACATTCTTGAGATGTTTCAGCAGCTTAATTGGAGTTCACCTGTGGTAAATTCAGTTAATTGGACATGATTTGAAAAGGCATACACCTGTCTATATAAAGTGCCAGGAATGACATTACATGTCACAGCACAAACCAAGCATGAGACAATTAATTATCTGTAGACCTCCAAGACAGAATTGTCTTAAGGCACAAGGCTGGGGAAGGTTACAGAAAAATTTCTGGTGCTCTAAAAGCTCCAGTGAGCACAGTGGCCTCCATCATCCGTAAGTGGATTATGTTTGGAACCACCAGGACTCTTTCTAGAGCTGTCTAAGCTGAGTGATCTGGGGAGAAGGGCCTTAGTCAGGGAGGTGATCAGTAACTCAATGGTCACTCTGTCTGAGCTCCAGCAGTCTTCTATGGTGAAAGGAGAACCTTACAGAAGGACAACCATCTGTGCAGCAATCCACCAACAATCAAGTGTGTCAGAAGGAAGATACTCCCCGCCTGGAATTTGCTAAAAGGCATCTGAAGGACTCTCAGACCATTAGAAACAAAATTCTCTGGTCGGATGAGACTAAAATTGAACTCTTTGGAGTGAATGCCAGGCATTATGTTTGGAGAAAACCAGGCCCTGCTCATCACCAGGCTAATACCATCCCTACAGTGAAGCATGGTGGTGGCAGCATCATGCTGTGGGGATGTTTTTCAGCAGCAGAAACTGGAAGACCAGTCAGGATAGAGGGAAAGAGGAATGCAGCAATGTACAGAGACATCCTGAATGAAACCTGCTTCAGAGTGCTCTTGACCTCAGGCTAGGGCGACGGTTCACCTTACAGTAAGACAATTACCCAAAGCACACCGCAAAATATCAATAAAGTGGCTTTACAATAACTCTGTCAATGCTCTTGAGTGGCCCAGCCAGAGCCCAGACCTAAATCCTATTCAACATCTCTGGAGATATCTGAAAACGTCTGTACACCGTGGCTTACAATCTAACCTGATAGAGCTTGAGAGGTACTGCAAAGAGGAATGGACAAAAATTCCCAAAGACAGGTGTGCCAAGCTTGTGGCATCATATTCAAAAAGACTTAAGACTTTGCTGCCAAAGGCAATAGTATCTGGATGCAGCCTTTATGATGCAAGCTGAGATTGCATCACTCAGCGATGCAATGTCAGACACAATGCACTCAAATGGAGCTAGTGACGTCACTGTGTTGGGTAAGGTTAGGGGTGGGGTTAGGTGAGCCCATTAAAAAGCATTGGATGCAGCCCAGATTGCACTGCACCAGGTCTGTAGGCAGACCCCTCTCGCCAAAGGTGCATCAACAAAGTGTTGAGCAAAGGCTGTGAATACTTATGTACATGTAATTTTTTTAGCTTTTTTATTTTTTAATACATTTGCAACAATTAAAAAAAAAATCTTTTTCCCCATTATATCTATAGGGTATTGTGTGTAAAATGTTGAGGATATAAATTAATTTAATCCATTTTGGAAAAAGGCTGTAACATAAAATTTGGAAAAAGTGAAGCAATATGAATACATTCTGGATGCACTGTATGTCGTTTCAGTATGAATATCGCAATATGCAAATCTACAACAGTCTTATCGCAGGATTTGCAGTATTTACATATTTTTTTGTAAATATTTTTACACTACCAAAAAAGCATAAAGCTCTGTTTATTTTTCATTTTTATCTTTGTTGTTTTGTTGTTTTCATCTGTGCTTTTATTTGTTTATTTCATGGTGGGTATTTTTGTGTATAATTCTTTTTACATTTTATGCAGATTTATACAGATTTGACACTCCTACAAAATCATAAAAAAATCACTTACAAAAAAACTAAATATCACAATGTAAGTTTTTCCCAATATCATGCAGCCCTAGTTACCACCTTCAAAAAGTGCCACACATTTTCATTCACATCTTTTAAAGAAAATTATTAGCCATTTAATTACCTTTTTAAATTAATGAATACTTGCAAATATATATATAAAGTTATTTTTAAAAGACAGCTTCTTGTTTTCTTGTCAGGTTTTCTGAATTGCAAACATATTCAGAGCTTGACTTCCATCCCCTGGATGATGGCCATTGTGATGTTATCATTGACAGACCAACTGTCTTCATGAAACTGGATGCAGGTGATATTACTGTTGAATAAGGAAGCTTTTTTGTTTAGCTTTCTCAAAGGCCAGGCTGAAAAACCTCCATGCTTCATCTGTCTTTTGCAGGAGTGAACATGTACCATCATTTCTGTGACTTTGTTAATCTCTACATCTCCCAGCACCTTAACAACTCCTTCAGCCGTGACATAAACATCGTCATGTGGGACACAGTAAGTGTTCATCTTTTTTGCTGGGTGTTCTCTCTTGGCAGGTTTAGTTTGAATAAAACAAATATGGGGAAGATTAATTTAAAGAAGCGTTAATGTTGTACATCCAAATGAACTCCAAAATTGTGCTGTTCGGCAGAAATATTAGATTAGATTAGATTCAACTTTATTGTCATTACACATGTACAAGTACAATGCAACGAAATGCAGTTTAGGTCTAACCAGCAGTGCAATAGCAGCAAGTGCAGGATACAGGAATAAGTTATAAAGTGCAGTTATAGAAAAAACTATGGTGATATTTACAGATGGATGTACTATGAACATTATATACAAATATAAATATACATACACAACAAATATAAATGTAACACAGACCAAAAATGTGTAAACAAACCACAAACAAGACACAATGTCACATGATGTGACCATAAAAAGACTGACTTCTCAAGCATACACATTTCAAAGGGATAGTTCACTCAAGAGTGTGAACAAACAGTTTCCTCATAATTAAGTGGTTCTAAACATTTATGAACTTCTTTCTTCTGTTGAACTCAAAACAAGATATTATGAAGAACAGGCATTGACATCCATAATTGGAACTAAAAATAGTATGATTTATTGACTTCCCACTGTTGAAGTCAATGGCCATTTTTTCCAACATTCTTCAGTACATCTTTTTTGTATTCAACAGAAAAAGTATAAATAGGTTAATGATGTGGTAAATGATGTGGAGTATGAGTAAATGCTGACAGAATCATCTTTTTAGTGTGATGCTAGAATTTGTCTTTGTGTGATACATGAATGTTTGATACTGTATTGATTCTTTTACACATTTTATGAGCTCTTGACAAATACTTAACTGATAAAAGTACTGTCACATGTTTGCACACACAATTAATGTCTTTAGTTCAGCACACAACAATGTTTTGGATGTTTAGGTTTGGTGTTAAAAAAAGGAAATTAGGACTAAGTGTATCATTTTATTTTTTTAGTCCAGACCAAATATTCTAAGAGAACTGAACTACAAGTGTCGTTCAGTAAACCATTTAGTGCTTAGCATATATTTCTTTCAAATATATATTTGTTATGTCTCAGGACTAAAAAAGCCTATTACAGAAGGTTTGCTGTTTCAAGTCACTGCCAGTTTCAGGAGGTGTGCTGTTCCTATAACAGAAAGATAAAAAGGAAACAGTAGGTTGAAAATAAAGTGACTTATGAGGAAACCTTATCCTGCCTATTGTTCAGATGGTGGCATTTCAAGGATGAGGAAGAGAAGGAAGAATGAAGGGGTGCAAACAAAGAAAGAGACTTTTGTTTAAAACAATGTCAGTGAAAATGACTGCTAAAATATACATTTTCTGTTAAGTTACTCAACATCAGGCCATCTAAAACAGAGGTGACTTTTTTCTTTATTAGAATATTAAAAGGATACTTCTTCACCCCAAAATTAAAATTAACTTGCTATTTAGTGTGCGTGTCCACCAAATTGTTTTTTTATTAGAGCTGAGCATTTGTTTTCTTTTTTTATCTTATTTTCTGTTGTTGTCAATGGTAGCATCACACTTTTTTGAGTGCCTGCAGTGCAGCGAGGCGCTGAGTGGGCAAAAAAATGCAGCACCCATCAGTGTAATTTTTGAGCTAACCATCCAATCATAGTGAGGAGAGGCTGGACAATATCATGCAAATGTCAACAATTGTTTTGCTAAAGACTTTCAACTTGTAATAGTACAGCTGGTATACTTTGTATCAAACCTCAAGTGGTTTCAGACCTTTTTGAGTTTTCATTTTTTTCACAAAAGATATTTTGAAAAATGTTAGAAACTTGTAATCGGTGACTTTCATACTAGGAAAACCAAATACCATGGAAATAAATGGTTACAACTTTCCATTTTTTAAAATATTTTCTTTTGTGTTTAACGGAAGAAGGAAACAGTAAAGTAAAGGGTGAATAAAAGCATGACAGTTTTCAGTTTTGGGTGAACTATCTCTTCAAGAAGAAGATCTTTAGCTGAATTCCTATTGATTTTTTAGATGCAAGTCAAAGGCTAACAGCACTTTAAGATTCAAAAAAGTACTATTTATACAGGCAAAACTAAATAAATACTTCTACCTCCTCCTGATGATACATTGCGGTCTCCTGAACAAAGAAAATTATTTGCAACATTATTGTTAACTTTAATTCACAGCTTTGGGAGCACCTTCTTGATACATGTATCATTCCGTCACATGTATAAATTTAGTTTTGCCTGTAAATCTTTATTTGACTCTCACAGTCACTTAGATTAAATGAATCACAGAGGACAAAAAACATCTAGATTTTGGATGACCTGAAGGTGAGGAAATTAAGGGATTAACCCTCTAGTAAGGTTTGCAGCTCACTAACATGGTGTCTAATATTTAAACAGTCCTCTTGGATTGTTTTTTTTTTGATAGTAGATTAGAAGGGATTAAAAATAAACAGATTAGAATACAAACAAGTTAAGGAGAGGCCTGCTATTTTTATAATGGTAATTGCTTGTCTTTCGTTATATATATATATATATATATATATATATATATATATATATATATGCTAAATCATGAACAAAAATTGGTTTTACTAATTTATCATATGGTATATAGTCAAGCCTGAACATTGCTAAACATTTGGGCATGACAACGACCCAAAAACAAACAGCTAGAGTGGTGAAGAAATGATTAGCAGACAAAACATTAACATTTTGCTGTGGTCCAGCCAGAGTCCTGACTTAAATCCAATTGAGAATCTATGGAGGGATCAGGGTGATGGCAAGGAGACCCTTCAATCTAAAAAAAGTTGGAGCTCATCACTAAAGATAAATGGGCACAAATACCACTGGAGACATGCAAATAGCTGGTCAGCAGTTATAGGAAGCGCTTTATTGCTGTAATAGCTATTAAACATTTTTCTATTGATTATTGAGAATATATTAAATATTGTCTTTTTTAAATATTTAAATGTTTTAAAAGTAAATTAAATTTAAAATGTTTTGTTCATTTTGGATTTTGACACTTCCGGTAATTTCAGAACACCTAGTCTAAATTCAGTTTTAAATACTTTTACTTTTTAAATAATAATAATGTAATGTTTTTTGTCTATCAGAGTGTATATGGATATGGAGACCTCTTCAGTGAAACGTGGCGAGCCTTCACCGACTATGACATCATTCACCTCAAAAACTTAGACTCCAAAAGGGTAAACAATTTCTGCTCCACTTTACTCTACACTTACAGCAAACTTCTGTCTAATCGAAATTTTGTGTTGTTCACAGGTTTGTTTCAGAGATGCGTTTTTCTCTCTCCTTCCAAGAATGCGATATGGCCTTTTCTACAACACTCCTCTTGTATGTGTGTTACTCTTTACATGCCTTTCTTGCACACAGGACTTATTTTTATCATTCCGCATGTGTTCATCTCATCTGCAGTCATCAGTCTATGTTAAGCGACATCTGCAGATGTAGAATATTTGCATTGTGTGAGATTGAGCTCATCTGGTGCTGTCACTCAAATCAGCCCTCTATTAATGATTCTCTGTGTGCAAATGACATGTGGAGAAGCTTTAACTGACAGGTGTGTTTGTGTGCGTGTGTGCGTGCGTGTTTGTGTGTGTGTGTGTGTGTGCGCTGTTTAACAGATCTCTGACTGCCACAGTGAGGGGCTGTTCAGGGCCTTTTCTCAGCATGTCCTTCATCGACTCAGTGTCCCACAAGATGGACCCAAAGTAAACACAGACACACACACACACACACACACACACACACACACACACACACACACACACACACACACACACACACACACACACAGAGATGAAGTCAGAATTATTAGCCCCCCTGTAATTTTAGCCCCCGTTTATTTTCCCCAAAATTTGTTTAACGGAAAGAAGATTCGAACCTTGGCTGGGTCAGTTGGTGTTTCTGTGTGGAGTTTGCATGTTTTCCCCGCGTTTGCGTGGGTTTCCTGCGGGTGCTCCGGTTTTCCCCACAGTCCAAAGACATGCGGTACAGGTGAATTGGGTTGGCTAAATTGTCCATAGTGGATGAGTGTGAATGAGTGTGTATGGATGTTTCCCAGAGATGGGTTGCAGCTGGAAGGGCATCTGTTGCGTAAAACATATGCTAGATAAGTTGTCGGTTCGTTCTGCTGTGGTGACCACAGATTAATAAAGGGACTAAATAGTGCTGATTAATAGAGAGATTTTTTTTTCAAAAAATGTTTAAACATAATAGTTTTATGGAATTATAAAAATAATTTAGTCTTTGCAATACATAATATTTTACTAGAACCTTTTTTTACAGGATACTAGTATTTAACTTAAATTTTAATTTAAAGATTAACTATTTTAGGTTACTTAGATTAACTGTCATTGGACAGCAGACTTGTTCTTTAGCCATGGAAGAAACAAACATTTTAAGGGTGCTAATAATATTGATCTTAGCACTTTTTGAAATTTAAAAGCCAAATTAAATTCCATCTCCAAAAGGAAGATATAATAGCTGGTTTTCCTTGTCTGTGGATTTTCCTTGTCAAATTTCCCTTGGGGGAAATTTGTGCAAATAATGTCTTCAACCTTATGTACAGTACAGTCAGTATATGTTATAGTAAACCATCGCTCTAATATTATTGTCCACTAGATGGCACTGTTGCACAATTTATTACATCACGTTGTCTTCATAATCGGACAGCTCAGTTTATCATCACATATTATGGACACTTCATCATTATATAGATCAAAACAGTACATTAACAGTAAGTGTCTAAATCCATTTTGACTTGATGAAAAATATACAACTTAAAGTTTTACACCGAGATCCCAAAATGTGTTGAAAAATGTATGTAATCTGTAATGTTGTTGTGCTCTGTCAGCAGGGCCAGGTTCGTGTCACTCTGTTGGCAAGAAGCACAGAGTACCGTCGGATAATAAACCAGCAGGAGGTGAATCTCATTGATTTATCATTCTGCTTCCTTAAACTGACCATTTAAACTCTTTATTTGCCGGAGACCCTGCTTGATAAAAAGTCCTCGATTTACTTGGCCTCTGTCCACACTAGTGTGAGGTCTCGTTAATCACCCTCTGAATCCCTGCTGTGTGTACATGTGTGTGTGTGTGTGTGTGCAGCTTATCAATGCCCTGAAGACTGTGCCTTTATTTGAGGTCAAGCTGGTGGATTACAAATACAAGTGAGTTATTCCGTCTTTACTGGCTTTAAATGGATCGATTTCTTTTGAGTTTGCAGTTTGTGTGACTGAAAGCTGGTGTGTATTTATAGGGAGATGCCTTTTCTGGAGCAGATCCACGTCACACACAACTCTGATATCTTTATTGGGATGCACGGAGCCGGACTGACCCACCTCCTCTTTCTTCCTGACTGGGCCGTCATTTTTGAATTGTACGTGGTGTAAATATGCAGTCTTTATATAGTATATGACAGAGCTGCAGTGGTAATACTTGTTCACGTTTATTGAGTTTTACTGTAGAGACTGTTTTATTGTACAGGATTCACCCAAAAATAATAATTCAGTTATCTTTTACTCAATTTTTACTTGATCCATACTTGATCTTTCTTCTGTTGAACACAAAGATATTGTAAAGAATGTTGGAAATCCTTTATTGCTTACTTGAGTATTTATTTATTTTAACTATGTATGTCATTGGACACCGGTTTCTATTATTCTTCAAATTTTTTCTTTTGTGTTCAACAGAAGAAAAAACTTAGAAAGGTTTGTAACCACTTGAGGTTGATTAAAGTGTGATTAAATTCTAATTTTTGGTCAGCTATCTTTTTAAAACCATTACATTTGGGCCTAAATTTGTGTGCTGCATTTATATTGTTTTCTATGCTTACTGTTACACTCACATCTCCCATTTTTTGCAATGTTATTCCTCATGTGGTTTTAATCCTTTGAGTTTATTTCTTTCCAGGTTGCTGGAAAAAATACTTTGCAAGTGGATAAATGGGTGCAGCAACCAGCATTCTTCAAAATAACTTCTTTTGTTTTCAACAGAAGGAAAAAAAAAACTTAGAGAGTCATATTTGTGACAGTTCTCTGTGCAAAAAGATCATGTTTTGAGTGTGTAAACTGGCTTGTTGCACACATTAACAACTCTACATGAGAAAGATCATAATTTGAGTGTGCAAAATGACTTGTTTGGCATGCAATAACAATTCTGTGTGCCAATGATCATGTTTTGAGGGTGCAAAATGACTTGCTGCACTCATAATTCTGCATGCAAAAGATTATGTTTTGACCATGCAAAATTACTTGCTGAGCATGCATTAACAATTCTGTGTGCAAAAAATCATGTTTTGACCGGGCAGAATGACTTGTTGAACACACAATAACAATTCTGTTTTCAAAAGATCATGTTTTGAGCGTGCAAAATGACATGCTGAGCACAAGTTCTGTGTGCAAAAAATGTTTTTTGTTTAAAATGACTTGAGCATGCATTAAAATTCTGTGTGCAAAAGATGATGTTTTGACCGTGTGAAATGACTTGGTGTGCATGCAATCAAAATTCTGCTTGCAAAAGATCATGTTTTGAGCAAGTAAATGGCAGCTTTTTGTGGTCTCTTTTGTGCGCTTGCTCAACATAAACCTAGTATTACAATATGACTGAAATCTGGTCTATCAGATGGCTGATACATTTTGATTGCTGGCGTGACAAACTGTGATTTTTTTTTTAACATTGTACTTGTTTATAATCTTTTGTAAGATTATTAATATCTATACAGGCACTATTGTTGATCAGGTCCCTGCATCATCTCTTACATTTTATTGCATCACCTTTAAAAATGTTTTCTTAACTCTAGTTCACTACTAATAAATAAACACATGTCAATTTCATTTTTTCGCGACACCTATCTGAATGTGTTAAGACATATTTCCCAGGATGCATCTGTGTGTCTGACACTCATGTCATGTTATGCATCCACCAGACACTCATGCGGATGCAGTCAAGCTTCTGTACTTTTTAGTGTGTGTGTGTGTTATGGAGGAGGAAAGCGTCTGACTGTGTCTGTGTGTGAGTGTGACAGTGAAATACAGCCTAATTAAACAGTTATCCATCAAAGTGAGTCTGCGGAGGCTTTGTGGGCCACTGCCTGCTAAGTTTGGGACATAAAACATCCCTCTTGCTGTATTCCGCAGGTACAACTGTCAGGATGAGAGCTGCTACCGTGATCTGGCCCGACTGAGGGGAGTCCAGTACATGACTTGGCAGAAAAGGGACAAAGTGTTCCCACAGGATAAGGTAAAGAGAGCACACACTAACAGACACAGACACACACAAACACACACACACACACACACACACACACACACACACACACACACACACACACACACACACACACACACTTTTATATTTGGTTTACAAGGTCTCCCCGTAGGCATAATGTGTTTTATACTAAAGGACACTTATATATCCTTGCCCTGACCCTAAACCCAACATACACTTGTCATTATACAATTTTTATTATTATAAACCACATAAACAAACACACTCTTGAGCTGAACCAGTTCATACATATGTGCAGTGATGTATATTACATCGTACACTGTAAAAAAAATATTGCTGCCTAAACTTTTCTAGTCATCTCAACTCAACATCAGTCAAACTGACTTCTTCAAATTTTAAGGTAAACTTCTTACAACTAAAAACATTTAGTTGAAACCTGATTAACTCATTGTAATGAGTTAAAGTAACATACAAATATTTGTTAAGACTTTTGTCATGTTGTTTTGTTATTGTTACTTATAATAGGATTTTTATAATAAAATTAACTTAAATGGATTTATGTGTATCATTGTAGAATCATTTATGTTATGTTATGTTATAATTAAATTCTACTACATAGTCCACAAATTCCACAACAATTTAACAATAATAATCATTATAATAATAATAATAATAATAATAATAATAATGGGAAATAGAATACATATTATTTATATTTCATATTTGTTCTACTGTAAATAAGGCATTTATAGTAATTATAAAATAAGATAATAAAAATAAAATAAGCATATTTTAAAGTATATACATTTATTGTATAATTATATTATATTATATTATATTATATTATATTATATTATATTATATTATATTATATTATATTATATTATTTAGGCTTAGTCCCTTTACTAATCAGGGGTCACCACAGCAGAATAAACCACCAACTTATCCAGCATATATTTTACATAGTGCATGCCCTTCCAGCTGTAACCCAGTACTGGGATTTTTATTATATAATATTATTCATTCATCCATTCATTTTCTTTTAGGCTTAGTCCCTTTATTAATCCAGGGTTGCCACAGCAGAATGAACCGCCAACTTATCAGGCACGTTTTTATGCAGAGGATGCCTTTCCAGCCACAACCCATCTCTTGGAAACATCCACACACAATCATTCACACACATACACTACGTACAATTTAGCCTACCCAATTAACCTGTACCGCATGTCTTTGGACTGTGGGGGAAACTGGAGCACTTTTTAGAGTTCACTAGAGTGAATCTGATTAATGTTAGCTCCACGTCGAAACAGGCACCTCTAGAGTTTATTAGTTTGAGTAAAACGCACAAATAAAATGGACCGAGTGTTTTTTTTTCTCCTTCACTTATGAACATTTCATTCATGCCCCTGTGACAAAACTGGTGTATTCAACGCAAATACAAAGTAAGGACTGAGAGTGTTTTGGGATTTAATTACGCACACCAAATGAAAAGAAAAAAACTTCCGCATTTCACGATGTGTGTGTGTGTGTGTGTGTGCGTGCGCTCGTTCCTTCACTGAGAGCTGCATGTATAGATCTTGTCGAAAAATATGGCGAAAACTTTTACATGACGGTAATAGCTGGATTGCGGTGTTTCCTTTAATAATGTTGTGATGCATTTTGGAAACAGGAGATGAGCTCGTGGTCTAATGCGCCACCTCGCTTGAGTAACCCGTTCTCAAAGACTTACTTTTAGTCATTATTTGGGTAGCACACATATTCTAAATGCCTTCGGCAGAATTTAAATGAGCCATTTTAATCTTGGTTTATCTAGATTAATTCCAAGATTACAGTGAGATTCATCTAGATAAAAAAAAAAAAAAATCTATGCCCACCTATAATTATGTTATATTACATTATTAGTGTTGTAACCTATCCTGTTAGTAAATTTTAAAGAATGTAATAAATACATTATATAATAGGAGTTTAATTAAATATATATATATATATATATATATATATATATATATATATATATATATATATATATATATATATATTAACTTATTAATCGCACCTTTTTAAAAAAAATTATCATTCATATAAAAATCGCATTTAAAATACTGAAACTTGTAATTTTGCCTATTTAAATGTAAAATTAATGTAAACGCTAGAAAAAAATATTTAAATTCAAAATATAATTGTTTAATAGAATTTTTGTTTTAACTTGTAACACAGATTTCTTCATGTAAACAACATACCCACAATAAACCATCAAGATTCTGCTTGACGGCCATATTTATTACAGAAATTAAAACACAGGCATGTTAATGACATTTAAATTTCAAAACAATCAATGTCAATAAAGAAAACATTGATTTCCATGTTGGATTCTAAGTGGACTGCAAAAAAATGCCAAAATACAGGAATTGCAGATATGGAAAATGAAAAATTATAATAATAAACTATAGAATACAAACTGTTGTACTCATTGTAAAGTTTTATTGCTGTGAATTGAGAACATTAATTTTAGAGAAGAAGCAATTTTGCTTAATCCTCTTTTACATTCATCCAGTTGCTAAGACTAGGAGTATCCCGCAAGTGCACAGAGACTCCCAAATGTCCGCAAATGAATGATAATTTCTTGCAAACCGGTCGTTAAATACATTGCACACCCTTCTCGCCCCTACTCAGATACGTCGCTTACTCCACCCCTGACACCCCTCAACGGACCTGACACAGACACACACACAGACACACACAACGCGCTGCAGACGTTTTGGCCCCAACGGCCTTCCATACTGAAGCAACTCCCCTCAGATTCAACACGCATGATCACGGTCATCAAATTTGCTAAGCGTCCTAAACTAAGCGTCCTAAAGTATTACTGTATTTCACAAGGATTCTGACAAAACAACGCGAAGCATACGCTTTTGTTGCGTTTAATGAGGAAACACGCTAAACTTGGAGGGCTCATGCTGAAAGGCAGATTAATGCCCTGTCTTTGACAGCTCGCGACTTCACCAGACGTTCTGAGTACATTTACATAAGACACCTATACTCCGATTTTAATATGATTAAGATAATACTCTTATTAAAATTCTACAGTGTAGCCTTAAAAGGAACCTTACCTTAAAGGAACACCGAGTCACGAAAGGTGGAGGATTTTCTTTCTGTTCGCCATGCGGTATCAACTTACAGAGATGTCGAAAGTTAAAAATGAAACACCCGAAATTGCATGAAACTCTAGATAACTTGTGATGCAACTAATTGTTTTATACTGGAACTTGCCGTCAAAAAGTGCTTCCTTGGTCTTATCCACATTTATTGCATGTTGAAATCACGTCCACCACAACAGGAAGTAAAAAAAACCTGAAATGCGTTAATTGTGTTAATTTTTTTTAACGTGTTAATTATTTAAAATTAATCGCATGCGTTAACGCGTTAATTTTGACAGCGCTAATATATATATATATATATATATATATATATATATATATATATATATATATATATATATATATATATATATATATATATATAAATGTATCATATCTAAAATTATGGAATATTTATTTAATAATTGTATTTAATATGTATAATATATAGTCATTGTAAACGTATGTGGACATTGTTATCTGAAGTTATAGTACTTAGTTTATGATTTTAATTTAATAAAAATAATGTAATAATATTCACATATGTCTTTTTATTTGTCTATTTTTTTTAACAGGGTCATCACCCTACTCTTGGAGAACATCCTAAGTTCACCAACTACACTTTTGACGTGGAGGAGTTCATGCGTTTAGTTCTTCTAGCAGCTGAACATGTGACTCGACACCCGGACTGGAGAGCTAAACAAAGTCGAGAAGAACTGTAGAGCGTAAGATATGAGGATGAACACACTCCTGCAAACTCACTGCACTGCTGTTAATGTAGCTCATGAAAAGCTGACCGCTCAGAAGTCAAAGCACAATTACATTTCAGAAAAAAACAAAAACACATGTGCAGTTTCTGCTCCTCTTCTGCTCATGGAGGAGCTCAGGAGTTTTTCCAAAAGACTCCCATCTCAATTGCAGACTTACTTCTTGGATGTTTTGTGTGGTCTAACAGTCCTCTCCTAAAGTCAACCCAGACTCTTTCTGAAAATGTACCACTATATACATTTCTGGAGAGCCCTTAAATACAACCCAGGAAGTAAGTTTTTCAGTTTTTTTTCCACGAGTCCACCAGAGGCTGATGTGTAGGCTTTTTGAGATCTCAAATTTCTCTCACGAGTGCCACTAGAGGCTGTTGACTGAATGACTAACTGACCCACCCTCCTTCTTCCCTTAGTGTTTTTAAAAGCACCGTTTGACCATTAAATGACAATTTTGTAACAGTGGGAAAAGTCGTCCATACAGAGGTAAGCTGTCAGCTAGTAAGTGCGAAAATGAACAGTATTATACCCCCTCGTATTGTTCATTTTAGACGAAATGCAGCCAACTGTACTCATGGCTACATAAATCGCGATCTCCAGAAATGCCTAAAGCTGTACCTTTTTAGAATGAGTCTATATGTTGCCTAAATATATGTTCTTTTATTTAGAGACTACACTTTTAAAAATTGATCTGAGAGCAGCTTTATGATTTGTTTCTGACTGCATGAGCAAACCTCAGGTCTGCAGATCAATACAAGTTTGTAAGATACTTTAGAGATCAGTTTTTTCCTAAAAATCTAGCGATCAGGCTTTGAGAGTTTAGTTTAGAGTCTGTTTGGTAGCATTTTTAAGGCAAGACACTGCGGGCAAAACATATTTTATACTACTTCTGTAAGTTTTGGCTTTACATAAAGTGTTTTTTTTCCAGTCTAGTGGACTGAAAACTAAAATACACTGGATACACAAAAATTCATTTTTGTCTTCAGATTTTAATATTAGTATATACTGTATTTTAAAGACAGTTTTCTCAAAATGTTTTTTTTTTACCTCTGTTCTAAGCTATAAATCCCTACCTCAGCAGCTCTTACATATGCCAATTTCAGTTTTATCAATATCAATATTCTGGTGGTTTTCACAGAGGAATTTGTATTTGGTCTTATATATCATCACCTTTTAATTATAAGGTTCTATCTGATGTTTTTGTCAAAATTGAGTTTCTGACATATTCTTATTAAATGAGAACACATTTACATTAAGGGATGTTTTTTTTTTTTTATAGGTTTACATTTTAAGACTTTTTATTTAAAAACAAATGTTACACACAGACTGTTTGCTATGGAATGCAAAAACTTTGAAGCTCAATATCTTAAAATCATCCAGAACGCAGATAGAACCTTAAAATTCCAAGGTGACAATATTCTTGCACAATTTGGCTGATTATATAAAATGTGTTATTGAAATGTGCAGTAGGTGATCTGGCAAAAGTCTATCTGTTAGCATAATATATTTAAAAACAAAGACTAATACTACAATTCCGAACAAAAAATGGTATTAAATCTTGCACGTTTCAGTTGTGTAGCAAGCAACACATGTCATAATGTGCAATATTTCATGCAGGCATCCGCAAGGATCACTGGTATCACTCCCTCATGCCCTTTGTCCTAAAACAACTACTGTATGCTTAGTGGTTGGTTGGCAGGGTGTAGGAATTACACTTATTACTAAGCCATACTTACATGCTATTTCAGACTGAATATTCTGAGTAGCATGGTGCAAAAACTTGCTGGATAAGTTGGCGGTTCATTCCGCTGTGGCGACCCTGGATTAATAAAGGGACTGAGCCGAAAAGAAAATGAATGAATGACTTATGTTTTGTTGTTAAACTGATTAAAAATCAACGTTATCGATACTGTAAAAGGTTCCTTATGAAATTGAAAATAGTCACATCAATCACTGGAATATTTCAGTGGCTGAACAACACTTCCATGCATATAACCCATTCTTAACAACCAAATCTATATCAGCTTTGCATGACTAAAATAGTTTTAAAACATAAAGTTACCCGTCTAACAGAAATCTTTCCTTCAGTGTGCAAAAGTAACTCCAATATTGATTCAGAATTTTAAAAAGTTTTGATTCAGTTTTTGGTTTTTACTTCTGTCAGAGATTTTTTATCTGCTTAACAGGGATGTGCAGTTGTGCAAATCTACATTTGTTGACAGACAGTTTGGGCTACTTATCAGAATTATGGGAATTGTCGGCCTGACACATTTAATGAAAGAAGTCTTATGTCTTATCCAGAATAATAAAATACATATAAATACATTTAGATCACTTACTTTAATCATTATTATTGGAATGTGAAGTGTCTTTCAGCCAGCACAACAAAAAAATGTTTCTGAAGATAATCACCTACTGCAGCTTAAAATCTTTTAAAACTACATTTAATGGAGTGATAAAAAGAGATTAGCAAAATCTGCATCTTTAAAAACCTTATGTTGTTAAAAATTACTTTAAAAAAGAAAAATGAAACAAGAATTTTTGAACCAGATGTTAATAATTTTCTGATTTTTGTGATAGAAATGTAAAAACGCCACATTTGCATTTTTAATATACTAATGTAACCTATCGCTTATATAACTATTAATTTTTTCCTGCTCGCCACCAGTGTTTTGCCTTAAATAACAGCATTTTATTTCACTTTTTAACACATTAATGCAAAAGAGACGACCTCAGCTTCATATTTATTACAGTGTCAGTTATTTCTCTGTCTGCAGCCAGTGAATATCATGATTTTGTAAGTGTAAAATGTAAAGGGATTCCTGACTCTGTTGCACTTCAGTATTGCTTCATCTCGTAAAGTATTTTATTATTTTTTTATCAGTTTTAAGTGTCTGTAGCAAACATTGCTGAAAAGCATATGGGTTTTAAGTTCTGGAGTGAAAGTATTTAATGAAATCTTTTATTTTAAAGTTGTTTTTTTTATTATTATTTGAAAACATTTGTTTTGTATTTGAATAAAATTAAAATGAAGCTATTTAAAATATTTCCTGTGTTTAATGTCATTCATCATTTTCACAAGCGTTGGCAGATAATAATCAATACATCAAACAGTATACTATGAGGTTTCAATATAAATATTAAAAGGAATTATTAATAAAAAAATGTCAGCATCACTTTTATTTTAAATACCTGATTTTCAATTATGAACTAACTAACACTTATGAAATGAACTAACACTAAACAGTATTTATTAACAAACTTTAATAAAAGTCTTAAAAGAATAATGAATGGTGTAACAGAGGCTTACGTTTGGTATTTGATAGTAGTATACGAATATATGGTCACTAAGGGAGCTTTGTTATGAATATCAGTAGATTTAGTCCTTATAAGAATGGTGTTTGGTGACTTTGCTCTTGACTTCTTTCCACCGTTCTCTGTTTCACAGTGTAAGACTCTTTCTGACAGCAAAAGTGCACTGGTTTGAGATGTGCTGTCATTGCCATTAATCTCGGTGACCTCAAACCTCAAACAGTGGACTTGAGGACACTGAAAAAATTGGCTTAAAGTGTTTTACCATTTTAAAAAAAAGATTCCAAAGATTTTTCTTCTCGAAAAAACAAACTATATTTAATAATACTTTAAATATTTATAATAAATAAGTTGTTTTATATAATGATTATTAATTTAATTTTATTTGGTAAAATTATATAATTTTAAGTATAGCACTAAATTAAGTCTAAATAATAAAGCCATTATTTTAATTATACACTT